ATCTTCTCTGTCTCTCACAACGCCTATCAATTCATGCTGACTGGTAAGACCTTACGGAATTTAATTCTATAGATTTAAATAAGAGTTGCTATTAATAAGAGATTTACTGGACATTGTACACATTGCATTCAACAGATAGAGAAAACCAGTCTGTCCTGATTACGTAAGTATTTTCATTTCATTGACTGACAAAAAAATGAAAGTATATGTATGACAAATATAAAGTATATATATATATATATATATATATATATATATATATGAGGAGCAGGCTGAGCCTGATGGCACAGAGGGTGAGACTGTGTGTGATCACATGCAGAGCTTTGATTGACAGATATTTGTAATAAACTTGCATAAACAAAAGCAAGAATATGTTTTTTTGTAACTTTTTAAATCGCAGAGGCTGACAAAATCGCCTACCTTCTGGGTTTGAACTCTGCTGATATGCTGAAGGCTTTGTGCTACCCCAGAGTCAAGGTCGGAAATGAGTTTGTGACCAAAGGCCAGACCGTGCCACAGGTATGTAGTAACATATTTCCAGCTTGTCCATGTATTTAACCTGAAAATCATTAGTTAGTCTGACTAATTATTGCAAAAAGACATTTTTACTAAAATATTCACTCTATTCTACTTACAGGTGTACAACTCTGTAAGCGCCTTGTCCAGATCTATCTATGAGAGGATGTTCTTGTGGATGGTCATTCGTATCAACCAGATGTTGGACACAAAACAACAAAGAAATTTCTTCATTGGTGTGCTGGATATTGCTGGCTTTGAGATCTTTGATGTAAGAATGATTCTTTTATCATTTTTCATGGCAAACTGTGTCATATTCAGTAATCTGTAAATGATTATTTTTCTTCCTGCAGTTCAACAGCATGGAGCAGCTGTGCATCAACTTCACTAATGAGAAACTGCAACAGTTTTTCAACCACCACATGTTTGTGTTGGAACAAGAGGAGTACAAGACGGAGGGCATTGTTTGGGAGTTCATTGACTTCGGCATGGACTTGGCTGCTTGCATTGAGCTCATTGAGAAGGTTTAAAGACTCATAATTTCCACTGTCTATTCTCAAAAATGTTATATTTTGGTAATAAACAACATTCTTTTATAAACAGCCCATGGGTATCTTCTCCATCCTTGAAGAGGAGTGCATGTTCCCCAAGGCTACAGACACTTCCTTCAAGAACAAGCTGTATGATCAGCATCTTGGCAAGTGCAATGCTTTCCAGAAACCAAAGCCTGCCAAAGGCAAGGCTGAGGCCCACTTCTCGCTGGTCCATTATGCTGGAACTGTGGACTACAACAATTCTGGCTGGTTGGACAAGAACAAGGATCCACTGAATGAGTCTGTTTTGCAGCTTTACCAGAAGTCTTCTGTCAAACTACTGGCTACAATCTACCCACCTGTTGTTGAAGGTAATGGAAAAAAAACTAAAGTGTTAATATGAAAGTGAAAGTGAAAGTGACGTGTGGCCAATTATGGTGTCCCATACTTGGAATTTGAGATCTGCATTTATCCCATCCAAGTGCACATACTGTACACAGCAGTGAGTAATATGTTTATGTACATCAATTTAATCTTATGTGATTACAATTTTACAATTTACAATTTATGTGAACTTTGATTCAGTTACATTATATGTGTTCCTTTGTCTCTTTATCTGAATAGAGACCGGTGGCAAGAAGGGAGGCAAGAAGAAGGGTGGTTCCATGCAGACTGTGTCCTCCCAGTTCAGGGTATGTCTTTGTTTGAGACCAAATGTGAATAATGATGCAACTGAAAGCAGTGACTGTACATCAGCTTGCTTGACTCGAAGTCAGGTAAATAATATATCAACAACTGAGAGAATGTGACTAAGAAAGCTTTAACATTTCATGATAAAACAGGAGAACTTGGGCAAGCTCATGACCAACTTGAGGAGCACTCACCCTCACTTTGTGCGTTGTCTTATTCCCAATGAGTCCAAGACTCCAGGTAAAGTTATTAAGGGCTTACAGGTACTCTGAAATTAATACAATATTTAATGTTAATCTTAATTTACCTAGCTCATGATGTAAACCGTTCCCTACAGGTCTGATGGAGAACTTCCTGGTTATCCACCAGCTGAGGTGTAATGGTGTGCTGGAGGGCATCAGAATCTGCAGAAAGGGCTTCCCCAGCAGAATTCTCTATGCTGACTTCAAGCAGAGGTAAATGGGAACACATGAAAACACCATTCACTGTATGAGGCTCTTAATTAGAGGATATGAAACATCTTGATTAATCTTCAACAGATACAAGGTTCTGAATGCCAGTGTAATCCCAGAGGGGCAGTTTATTGACAACAAGAAGGCCTGTGAGAAACTCCTAGGATCCATCGATGTTGATCATGACCAGTACAGATTTGGACACACAAAGGTTCATATTCTACTTTACAGCCTTTCAAAGATTCAATAATCATGATTATTTAGCCTATAAGGGTAAATCAATATCCTTTGATTTGCTGTATGTATAAATTTAGGTGTTCTTCAAAGCTGGTCTTCTGGGTACTCTTGAGGAGATGCGTGATGAGAAACTGGCTGCTCTGGTCACAATGACTCAGGCTCTTTGCCGTGGTTACGTGATGAGGAGGGAGTTTGTGAAGATGATGGAGAGGAGGTGAGGAATGTCATAAATAAAGATGACTGTGTGATAACAGTGTGAATGGTAAATAATGATGATTATGGCATTTAATGATGAATTATTCATAGGGAGTCCATTTACACCATCCAATACAACATTCGCTCATTCATGAATGTCAAACACTGGCCATGGATGAAAGTTTATTACAAGATTAAGCCTCTGCTGAAGAGTGCTGAGACTGAGAAGGAGCTGGCAACCATGAAAGAGGACTTTGCAAAATGCAAAGAAGATCTTGCCAAGGCTGAAGCCAAAAAGAAGGAGCTTGAAGAGAAGATGGTGGCACTGCTGCAAGAGAAAAATTATCTGCAGCTGCAAGTGGCTTCTGTGAGTTTTCCTATTTGAACTAACTGAATTTTGGCTCCATTAAATAGAGCAGTGTGTTTTCCAGTGATTATAGCGATCTATTTTCCTAACAGGAAGCTGAGAATCTCTCAGATGCTGAGGAGAGGTGTGAGGGTCTGATTAAAAGCAAAATCCAGCTTGAAGCTAAACTCAAAGAGACAACTGAGAGACTGGAGGATGAAGAAGAAATCAATGCTGAACTGACAGCCAAGAAGAGAAAACTGGAGGATGAGTGCTCTGAGCTGAAGAAAGACATTGATGACCTGGAGCTCACTTTGGCTAAAGTGGAAAAGGAGAAACACGCCACTGAGAATAAGGTTGGAGTTTGAGTTGGTTTAATCTCAGTCTTATATGATGATATAGAATATGAATTGTAAAAAACAAGCTCATTTGGAACAAAAAATCACACAGGTCAAGAACTTGACTGAGGAAATGGCAGCTCAGGATGAGAGCCTTGCCAAACTTACAAAGGAGAAGAAAGCTCTCCAAGAGGCACATCAGCAGACCCTGGATGATCTTCAGGCAGAGGAGGACAAAGTCAACACCCTGACCAAATCCAAGACAAAACTTGAGCAGCAAGTTGATGATGTGAATAACTAATTAAACAAGTCATGAATTCATTAAATTAACAGGCTTTTTTGCCCTGAACATATTTTATATATCATTATCCCATAGCTTGAGGGTTCCCTTGAACAAGAGAAGAAGCTCCGCATGGATCTTGAGAGAGCCAAGAGAAAGCTTGAAGGAGACCTGAAATTAGCACAAGAGTCCATCATGGACCTGGAGAATGACAAACAGCAAACTGAGGAGAAAATTAAAAAGTAATTAAAACATTAAATCTTTTATTGAAAACTTTTTTGTTGTTGTGTTATTGTTTTACAACCACTTATTATTGAATACCCACAGGAAAGACTTTGAAACAAGCCAGCTGCTCAGCAAGATTGAAGGTGAACAATCTCTGGGTGCTCAACTCCAGAAGAAGATCAAGGAGCTTCAGGTAATTCTTGAGTTTTGTTTTGATGTTGTTTTTTTTGTTTTGTTTTTTAACACTGTTACAGGCAAAGTTAAAATAAAGAGCAATATGGTTTCATTAATTACTTGCCACTGTAGGCTCGCATTGAGGAACTGGAGGAAGAGATTGAGGCTGAGCGTGCTGCTCGTGCCAAGGTTGAGAAGCAGAGAGCTGATCTCTCCAGGGAACTTGAGGAGATCAGTGAGAGGCTTGAGGAGGCTGGAGGAGCCACTGCTGCTCAGATCGAAATGAATAAGAAGCGTGAAGCTGAATTCCAGAAGCTCCGTCGTGAGTCCACCCTCCAGCATGAAGCTACTGCTGCAGCCCTCCGTAAGAAGCAGGCAGACAGTGTGGCCGAGCTGGGAGAGCAAATCGACAACCTCCAGCGCGTCAAGCAGAAGCTTGAGAAAGAGAAGAGTGAATACAAAATGGAGATTGATGATCTCTCTAGCAACATGGAGGCTGTTGCCAAAGCAAAGGTTTGATAACTGGTTTTTAAATCTGTTCAAGGAAATATGTCAAATGTGGTTAAGATTCTTAAGAATCAAATTACTTGGTGTTTACAGGCCAATCTTGAGAAGATGTGCCGCACCCTCGAGGACCAACTTAGCGAAATTAAGTCCAAGAATGATGAGAACATTCGCCAGATAAATGACCTCAGTGCTCAAAGAGCAAGACTTCAAACTGAAAATGGTAACCCAATGACAATCATGATGAAATTAATACTACTTCAGTAGTAAATGAGTATGGTGTATCAAGATTATTTAGCACTGAATATCTGACAAGGTCTTTTTAGAGCAAGCACACATATTTAAATTTTGCTTTCAAAGAGTTTGTTTTGATATTAACTAAAAGAGATATTGCACAGTCTGACACAGTGAATCTAAATCTAAACAGGTGAGTTTGGCCGTCAGCTGGAGGACTTGAAGAGTCCAAGTACGAAGATTACTGAATAATATTCCTGATTCTCACAGCTATTTTATAGCTTTGAATACAATGCAATGTGTAATGCTTAACAGGAAGAAGCTGACTCAGCGTCTGCAAGAGGCAGAGGAACAAATTGAGGCTGTGAACTCCAAATGTGCATCTCTGGAGAAGACCAAACAGAGACTCCAGGGTGAGGTGGAGGACCTCATGATTGATGTGGAGAGAGCCAATGCTTTGGCTGCCAACCCTGACAAGAAGCAGAGGAATTTTGACAAGGTAAAAAGTTTGAGTCGTGAAGTGGAGGACCTCATGATTGATGTGGAGAGAGCCAATGCTTTGGCTGCCAACCTTGACAAGAAGCAGAGGAACTTTGACAAGGTAAAAAGTTTGAGTCATTATGTAATATTCTCTTTTTAAAGTATTGCTGGAATGGACCTTAATCAACATGTTACAAACAAAACCTGACCCTGAAATATCTTCATAAAAGGTCCTGGCAGAAGGGAAGCAGAAATATGAGGAAGGTCAGGCAGAGCTGGAAGGTGCCCAGAAAGAGGCTCGTTCACTCAGCACTGAGCTGTTCAAGATGAAGAACTCCTATGAGGAGACTCTGGGTCAGCTGGAGACCCTCAAGAGAGAGAACAAGAATCTGCAGCGTAAGAATTCCTTTGTACAACATTTAATTAATTAACAAACTTAGTAGAGTTAAATCTGTAGAGATTCACAGCATATTTATGTTGATAATATTTTCTTTCCAACTTGTAGAGGAGATTTCAGATCTGACAGAGCAGTTAGGTGAGACTGGTAAGAGCATCCATGAGCTGGAAAAGGCCAAGAAGGCATTGGAGACTGAGAAGGCAGAGATGCAGACCGCACTGGAGGAGGCTGAAGTGAGTATCTGAAGATCAATATGTAAATCTGGCTAAAACCATTGTACTGTGTTGTTCATTTTGAAGTTTAAATGTTGTTTTTTATTATTAATAGGGCACTCTGGAGCATGAAGAGTCCAAAATTCTCCGTGTCCAGCTTGAGCTAAATCAGGTCAAAGGTGAGATTGACAGGAAGCTTGCAGAGAAGGATGAGGAGATGGAGCAGATCAAGAGGAACAGCCAGAGAGTCACTGAATCCATGCAGAGCACTCTGGACTCTGAGGTCAGGAGCAGGAACGATGCCCTGAGAATCAAGAAGAAGATGGAGGGAGACCTTAATGAGATGGAGATTCAGCTGAGCCACGCCAATCGCCAGGCTGCTGAGGCCCAGAAACAGCTCAGGAACGTTCAGGGACAACTCAAGGTATGTGACTTCTCTTTACTTTAAGATGCATTAGTATGTTTGTATAATCTAACCTATGTTTAGTAATGACCAACAGAAAGCACACTGCAAGCTTGTTGTAAAACTATTGTTATGTTCAGGACGCCCAACTGCACCTTGATGATGCTCTGAGAGGACAGGAAGACATGAAGGAGCAGGTGACCATGGTGGAGCGCAGAAACACTCTGATGCAAGCTGAGATTGAGGAGCTGAGAGCTGCTCTGGAGCAGACAGAGAGAGGCCGCAAAGTGGCTGAACAAGAGCTGGTGGACGCCAGTGAGCGTGTCGGGCTGCTGCACTCTCAGGTAAAGGCATATTGTTTTTACAATGAAATTAAGGACATTGAGAGCCTCATTTAAAATGTTTATACTATTGCTTTTCATGTTGCAGAACACAAGTCTCCTGAACACCAAGAAGAAGCTAGAGGCTGACCTTGTTCAGATCCAGAGGGAAGTTGAAGACACTGTACAGGAAGCCAGAAATGCAGAGGAGAAGGCCAAGAAGGCCATCACTGATGTGAGAAACAGGAGCTGCCAAATGTTTCACAAAACACTTGTGTACCTAAAAATGTGGCTCTAATATATATCTATATTAATGCAAAAGGCTGCAATGATGGCAGAAGAGCTGAAGAAGGAGCAGGACACCAGTGCTCACCTTGAGAGGATGAAGAAGAATCTGGAGGTCACAGTGAAGGACCTGCAGCACCGTCTGGATGAGGCTGAGAGTCTGGCCATGAAGGGAGGAAAGAAACAACTCCAGAAACTGGAGAGTAGGGTAAATTTTTTTTTTTTCATATAAAATATAATTTTAGGATAAAATCTCTTGAAGATGTTGCTTACACTTATTCCTAAAGGTGCCATAAAATGGAAAACTGTATTTACCTTGGCATAGTTTAATAATAACAGTTCTGTACATGGAAATGACATACCGTGAGCCTCAAACACCTTTGTTTCCTCCTTTTTATGTAAATCTCGAGAACGCAAAACACCACTGAAAAATAGGTGAATCAGAACATAACACTGACTGTGACAGTGACCTGATGCCCGCATTTTATACACAGTATAATTACCCAACGATATAACTGCGAGAGACAGTATTGAAATATATTTTCCCTGTGTTTCCTTCCTGCTGTGTGAGCTACTGAAATGAGCCGCACTGTCAAATGAAACAGCCAATCAGAGCAGAGCTCAACATTGAGCCGCACTGTGAAACAGCCAATCAGAGCAGAGCTCAACATTGAGCCGCACTGTGAAACAGCCAATCAGAGCAGAGCTCAACATTATTATTCATGACTCTTCCAAATAAGGTAAAAACAGACCATTTCATTCTAGGGACAAATCCTAGGGTTGTAAATGGACATGTAAAACCGTTTCTGGAGATTTTTGCCCTTACCTAAGCCACATACCTTCTATGTAGATATCAGAGAACAATTTAAAATATTGTATCAATGCATTCTATGGCACCTAATTAAAGCACCATCTCAGGTTCCAAAAGTAGTTACCAGGCAATAACTACTCAGTTGTACACTTGTCTGAAAACTTTTATGTGCTATCAAAGGTCCGTGAGCTTGAGGCTGAAATTGAAGCAGAACAGAGACGTGGAACTGATGCTGTTAAGGGTGTCCGTAAATATGAGAGGAGAGTGAAAGAGCTGTCTTATCAGGTATAATCATACCCGACCAATTCCATAGATTTATCCATACAAATCTATTAAATATTTTTTATTGTTTGTAGACTGAAGAGGATAAGAAGAACATCAACAGACTTCAGGATCTGGTTGATAAGCTGCAGCTGAAGGTCAAAACCTACAAAAGGCAGGCTGAGGAGGCGGTATGTTCAATTTATTTGAACATTTTGACACATTTGATTATTAATTAGTAATTTATTTACTGGTGCGATATCACTGATGTTCCACAGCTTAGTTAACAAACATGGTAAAAATGGTACTCTTTAGGAGGAGCAAGCCAACGGTCATCTGTCCAAGTTGAGGAAGGTGCAGCATGAGCTGGAGGAGGCTGAGGAGCGTGCTGACATTGCTGAGTCTCAAGTCAACAAGCTCAGAGTCAAGAGCCGTGATGCTGGAAAGGTCAGTTGCATAATAGCAGAGTCTGAACTCAGTACAGTAAATGATTTCTTGCATTTACTGAGAAGAAACATACAGTATTCAACTTATGCTTGAAAAATGTACTGATTATATACATGACTTCTGTATATCCTTTTTTTTTTGTCTCAGGCCAAAGAAGAGTGAATCTGATGGGAGCCTCTACTGAAGTCATATAATATGATTGTTCTGTAAATTTACATTTATTATTCCTTTTGAAATAAATCTGTGCTCACTAGATATTTGTTTTGGAGTGATCTTTAGAGAAATTTTATTCTCAAATAAATTAATTATTCATTTAAAAAATGGCATTATCACTTAAATAATGAAATATTCTAAAGTCTTGTCAAGAATGTAAAAAAGCTTTTTCATAAAGGCTACCTCCACACATGTAAGAAAAAAGGGAAGTTTTAAATTAAAAGTTAAGCAGCCTGTAAGAACTCACACTTAGGTGGTCACAGGCAGACAGTTAATTATTTAATGGAATTTGCCTGAGTGGAAATTCTGCCATGATAGCAATAGCTCCAGAAGAAATGGACTGGTTGATTAAATACCTTGGAGGCCACAATAGTGGACTCTTTTGAGCTGGAAAACTGCCCATTAATGGTTTCAACATATGTTGGTTAATTAAAAAATTTAATTAATGCATTAAGATTTAGGTGTATGAGTTTCAGGATTAAAATTGAATAAATATGCAGTAAAATTGATCTAAGTTGACATTCCATCCATTTATTACCACTGAAATACTTTTAATCAATAAACAAAACATCAACAACAAACGTTTAGTCACACTTACTAACATCATGTTCTATTCAATTAGCCCGTTCTAATAAAAAATAAAAATAATAATAATAAAATAAAAACTATAGCTAGCCAGGAGTAACAAGACATTTCGCTAATTTGTTCATGGACAGATGAGGAAAATTGTAGTTAAACCATAATAAACCACAAATTGACCCGGGTTTTGCTACACTAACCATAGTTTAATCATGGTATTTAAATATGATTATACAAATAGTAAATCACAAAAAAAAAAACATAGCTACTACACTTTTACCATGTAAAACCATGTTTTTTTTTCCCGCAATTGTGTTTATCAGTCAAATTCATTTAAAACTGTAAATTCAACAGATATGAAATATAATCAGTAAGAGAAAAATGTCAATACAAGCGCTGGACCTTGGCAGGTTAGTGGGGAAATATATTTATTTATTATTCAGACTGCTTATTTGGAAGAGAAATATATTCATAGGAATATTTCAGCAGGTTGAAGATAATTCATGTTAACGCAGAGAATATGAATACTTGTTTTTAAAAAATTGCCAGCCCTAAAACGAAGTAAAAATCTGCTTTCTCATGAGAAATGGTCTGTATGTAGGTGCGCTAAATGCTGATTGGAAACTCCCGAGCTGTGCTGTGTAGAACGCGGAAGTATTTGTGCAAGTTGTCCAAATTTGTTGAAATAAATAAAATATTATATTATTGTATAATTACCATAGAATATATAATGATTCAGTTTACATCACCTGAATAAAAACAGAAAAAAGCAAAAACACAATGATGAACAATTTTTATTCATCATTTTGTAGATGTATAGTTAAAAAAGTTGAATTTGACATAGAAAAGTTAAATCGCCATCTTGTACCGACCAAAGTGACCTGAATGCAACTGATGTCGTAATTACTACTTGTCAACTCGTAAATACGAACATCCCAGGAGGACTTGAATGCACCATATGCTCTTGACAGTTGCTGCATTCCAAATGAATTAAATCTGCCTCCAAGGGGCACTTCAGAGTGAGAACAATCATGGACGCCACATTAAAGGGTCGTTCCAAACCGAAGTGCTCAAAACTGGCCACTTAAAAAGGCCCTTCGGGATGAAGGATTTTGAAGGGTACAACTGATCAACACTCCCATGATTCTTTGTGCAGGTTTAATTGTGCGACAATGGCACCGTCTTATTTGGTACGGCAAGATGACATCGAATTTTGCTTTAAGGAACAGTTCTTCTGGCACCTAGTTTACTTGTTGAGTGAGGGGTTTAACTGACCTATGTGTCTGATCTGTCTCATGTGGTTGTCTGTGAGTTGTCATTTGAATGTGAGATTTTGGATATTGCAAGATAATAGTGCAAGATTCTGTGAGTGCAGTCTTTATATGTATTATTTACAAACAAATATGATATTATATAAAGTATGAACAAGAGGGTTTAAGAGTCAAAATAAGTTTATTTGTTTTTATTACAATATTGCAAGTGTCACACTTGCTGTAGGCCTTTAACTCAGCGGCCTGCTTACCCTTAAAAAAAGGGATGTCTTAAAGTGATGATATAGACTAAACTTGATCATACTATCAAAAAATTGAGATGAATATTCATCAATAATAAATACATTTTAAAAAAATTACCTTTCCAGCATCACGGCTCTTGGCTCTGAGCTTGTTGACTTGAGACTCAGCAATGTCAGCACGCTCCTCAGCCTCCTCCAGCTCATGCTGCACCTTCCTCAACTTGGGCAGATGAGCGTTGGCTTGTTCCACCCGCTAAGCCACACAGAATTACAGTGTATCAGGAATAGAAAATCTCAAAAGTTTTCAAGGTCTTTATAGTTCTCAAATAAAGTACTCACAGCTTCTTCGGCCTGCCTCTTGTAAGCCTTGACCTTCAGCTGCAGCTTGTCAACCAGATCCTGCAGTCTGTTGATGTTCTTCTTATCCCAGTCTGCAGATAATGAACATGCATCAGACTAGAACATAATCTGATCAATGTGACCTGAACTTTTACAAAAAAAAATTTGTACCTGGTAGGTGAGCTCCTTGACTCTCCTCTCATATTTGCGGACACCTTTAACAGCATCAGCTCCACGTCTCTGTTCTGCCTCAACTTCAGCCTCAAGCTCACAGACCTAAATGAGAGACAATATTAAACATCTCACTCAATGAAAATATGTTTAGAATATTAAAATATATCAGAGTATTATAGCATGACACAATTCATACCTTCCATATCATAATGATTAACATCAGAATCAAGAGAATCTTACTCTGTACTCCAGTTTCTGGAGTTGTTTCTTTCCTCCCTTCATGGCCAGGTTCTCAGCCTCATCCAGACGGTGCTGCAGGTCCTTCACTGTGACCTCCAGATTCTTATTCATCCTCTCAAGATGAGCACTGGTGTCCTGCTCCTTCTTCAGCTTTTCTGTCATCATTGCAGCCTTTTGCATGAATATAGATATATGTAGAGCCACATTTTTACGTACACAAGTGTTTTGTGAAACATTTGGCAGCTCCTGTTTCTCACATCTGTGATGTGTAGCGTCTGGACCAATCAAACACACAATATATATTTTG